TGGGCAAAATGCTTCACCGCCCTGTGCCCCAGTTTTTCCACCTATAAAATGAGGCAAATGATGGTATCCATCCCTTAGGGCTATTATGAGCATTGAATAAGTTTGTGTTTGCAAAACACTTAGAACATCATCTGGTATGAAGTAACTACTATAACATATTTTTCACTGACTTTTTAAGGTAGAAAGTTGAGATAAGTTAGAAATTAGCTAAGGTAATGAGTGAGCCCAATGTGTTCCAAATGGGGAAAAAGACAAAGGTGTTTTGAAATTTGAACATGTCCACTGTGGTCAGTAAGTACTCTGAGCCAGTGCAATGCACTAATATATACTCTAACTGCCTTTTGATTGTAGGATATAACTATTTGTCTCCCATACCTGTGACATGGTTCTGTAATCAATGGTCCTGTTTGAGATAATAAACAAACTGTATTCTGAATGGCGAGTGACTTCCGATATGAAACTCCAACTACCTGACAAGTTCTTATCTGAGGGTACCAAATTGACATAAAGGGAAGCAATGACTTAAAGCATTCATGGATACAAGATGAGTTTGCTTTGTTGAGGTTTTATTCAGGTCTTAGGAAGGGAACCAATGGAAAATAGTATCCTACATTTAAAGAAACACTTTCTAAGCACCAAAACCAGGAGTCAAAACTATGCCTTAAGGAATTCTAATGGCTTTTTAACCATTGCAAGTCATTTTAGCAAATAGATAATTAGTACTCCTGATGTTTAAATAGATTTTTATATCAATTTATGTGAAATCTTCGAAAAGACGGAAGAAAGTGAATTTTTTATAAAGTAACCATTTATCTTCTATAAAATATAATCTCTTGAAAACTATACTTCAATACAGGACTATATATGTGACTGCAATAACTTGTAATTAAATATTCAAAAATATAATTATTTTTATAAATGCTTTTCTGTTACAGGTGTTTTCCTGGAGAAAGTTCAATTAATTTTTGCTATATGCAATAGGAGTCAAGATTAAAGAACATATTGAGAAAACGTAATACTGAGGCTTTCTTATTTTATAATTTCCATTCCTTCAACTTTCAGTAAATGTTTATTTAACTGTTACACTGTGGGAGGTGCAATGAAAATGTAAGAGATCCAGTCCAATTTGATTTACTTGGAACAATTACTAAATTATGCATAACAACTTAAAAAATACAAATAAAAAACTTTTTGGGGTTTCTCGCATTGAACTTGCACTCTAAGTTTTTGATATTTACTTTTTAATGCACTAAATGTTGCAAGTTATGCCACTTTATTAAATTTTTGTGCTTTAGAAGCCTTTAATAATAGCTATTCTAGAAACTTTTCCAAAAACTTCTGTGTCCCATTTCTTTCATTAAAGCAAAATAAAAAAAAACTAAGGAGTAAGATTTCAAAATATTTTAATTTTTGTCCAATCATGTCCTGCGATTTTAAATTAGTTATGTATATATTTGGATATAAGATAATAAGTCTCTTATTTTTTAATATCCTCAGTGCTCAGTTTGCTAAAATAAGATAGAATCTAAGTATAAATGGCATAATAAGAAAAACTAACAACTAAGACAAAATTAAATTAATTTGCATATTTATAAAGTCTCTATGCTTGGCCTGCTTTATTTTTTAGACTTAAAAAATTCCAAATTACTCAATTTAAAATTTTTTTTTAAATATATAATTATTATATTAATATTCCTGCATTCTATAGAAAACATGTACTCTTAAACAAGTAAATTCCTTTGAAGTTATTCTATTTGCTTGAATTTTGAACTTATTCCAATAGACTGGCCAGTTTTAATTTTTCAACTCCTCTGAATTTGAGGAGCTCTTTCATATTTAGACTTTAGAAACTACAGGTGGATAAAAAGTAATAAATACAATGCCCTTCCATCCCATTGTCTTCAATAAAACAGATGCAATTTCAAAAATAATTGTTTAACACATCTATCCCTCTGTTAAACTACATGTAAAGCTGAGAGAACATTTTTATATTATGCTGACACTATAATAAATGGGCTCATATCATACTATTGGTTGCAACTTACAGCATTTTTGTCTACATTAAAGCTAAGTCTTGGTGATTATTCTTGCATTCTTTCTGTGAATTAAAATCAGAATAACGTAATTAGTCGCCCAAATTAAAATGCTATGGTTACTAATAATGGAACAAAGTCTAAAATTATATTACTTTGAGATCAACAATAGGTTCACATGAACTGTTTTCCAGATCTGCTTTTTAAGGAAAATACAGTCTCCTTCCTACTGCGGAAGTATCAGATTCTTGCAGCATCCGTGACACTTGTAAGCATTCAGTGGTCAGACGGCACTACATAGCCTTCAAATGATATGGCCCAGTGAAGCTGGACCGTGTGGTCACGGAGCCAGGCAGCCTGGTATCTCAGCCATCCACCACGACAGAGCCAGAAGGCCCCAGCTGGCGTGCTGAATCCAGACTAAGGTGAGAAATGTATTTTTCATTTTGAAAGTCAACTCTTCTAACACTGAAACCTAGGACATATTTATCAGGTGAAAGTGCATTGAGGACTTTAGGCTTATTTATTGGATCAAATGTATAATTCTCATTTCGCCCCGTTACTCTTAGGACAGGTTAAATCTTAATTTTATTTTCCTTCTGGGTTTCTGAGTTTACACTAGATAGTACATTTTAAAACATATGAATACATGTGTGTTCAGGACTATAACTGAATATGTAAGATATATGCTAAATTATATATACCTGTAAGTTGTTTAAAAGTCATAAAAGTTAAATAACAGAATATTGATCACCAATGTTCCTTGGTATGGTGACATTTGCCCATCACATTAAATTTACCAACCTGATCTTTAGACAAATGGGAACTCTTACAAAATAAAAATACATTTCAAGTCCTAGTTGTCATTTGGACTTCTGTATTCACTATTCAAGCATAAGAGTTTGGATTCTTGTGTTATTGTCTTGCTAGTGTTATCTTGCAAAGCTACAAGTTATTAATTCATTTCTTACCAACAGTAGAAAAATCAACTTACAAGATTTCTAAGTTCGAGATTTCCCATGCCTCCCATGGGCCTCACATGGCCACCAGTGCTCCCTAAACAACTGTAGAGAATGTCTTCCACTTTCCTAAGCTTCAGTTACCCAGGTCTGGTAGAAACATCATGATGGAAAAAAGAAACCTTTAATTTTATCAGGGTGCAGAAAGCGGACCCCATTTTTCCAGACATCCTTCTGAGTTAAACCATGTACTTTCTAACACAACACTTGGTGGATGAGACTGGGGTACCTAGCATCTGGATTCGTGATGTTTTATCCTGAGAAACTGAGAAGAAGACACTACTTCTTTTCTAAAAAGAGAAAGCAACCCTCTGCGAGGGCTCATTAAAAAGGGTTTTAAAATTGGAGCCAATAAAACAGAATTATCAATTCCTATAGTCTTTTTTTTCTTTTTAATCTCAGCAGCATTTAAAAAAGGCATTGTTTTTCTCTCTCCCCTTGGACAGGAAATCCTACTTTGAGTACACACAGGGACACATTCCAAATAGCAAAAACAACAACAATTCTCCAACTCCTTTGTGACTTCAGAGCAGGCGCACAGACCTAACTGCAGCTAGATGAACCACTCCTCAGTTTGCAACTGTGCTCCCCTTTGACACGGGAGCTACTTAGGCAGGATTCACCCTGCCTCCCTGAAACCTCTTGCTTGGCTCTCCTTTAAAAGTGAAAAGGATAAGGTCTTCCTTTTTCCAAGACTGAAAAGTTTGTCTGGGTGATGCCAGACTTTCCAACACTGACCCTAAAAGACAAAGCCTTTTAGAACTCTAACCTCCAAGGGGAGCAACCCCCAAACAAACAAACAAAATAACTTGAGTTGTTGGAATGAATGAAAAGCTTTTCTTCTGGAGTTATCCCCTGGCACTTCTGCTCGCCCGAAGCAGGAAAGGGGTGGAGTGGGCGGGGGTACTTATCACAGGATCCTTTTCCTTAAGCCAAGCCTATTTTGAGACGTAGAGGGAGGACTGGGTAGGAAGACTTCCCAAGCTGTACTTCCAATGGCCCGGACCTTTGGTCCCACCTGCCTGTCAATTTCAGCCCAGGAGTCCATCTTCCTCTCTGCGGATACTGAGAACGTGGACTTTCTGGGATGCACGGAGGCCAGTTTCCCGTTGACCTTTCAGGGACTCTGAAATCAACCCCCCCAGGGTGTGGAGGGGAGGGGAGGGCAAAGAACCACGGTCAGTGCTCAGCTCAGGTCTCCGGACGGACCCGACCCTAAGAGGCAGGTCTGAAGGTGCTGGATCCGTGAGCGCCCCCCCGCCCCCCGGGGCCCTGTCTGGGCGTCCGGGCGCCCGCTCGGCTCCCCGCTACTCCTCTCTCCGTGACCCCGACACTTGGTCCCTCACTTTTCCTAAAACCACCCGGGCTCGGCTCTCGGCGGCGACAGCGATGGCAGCAGCGACGGCAAAGTGGCGGCTGAGGCCGAGACACCTCGTGGGCTCGTGTCCATGCCGGGCCGGGGCGGGGAGAGGCCGGGGCGTGGGGAGCCCAGGGGAGGCCCCCCAAGAGCTCAGAGGCGACCGTCGACGGAGCTTCCAGGTCACCTCGGCGCCCGCAGCTACGCGATTCGCAGTTGGTCCAGTTTTGGGGGTGGGTGGGTGGGCAAGGGGGCCCGACAAGCGTGCGGGAAGGGGGGCGATCCTTAGCCCTCCAAACGCTGGGAACCCCTTAGATTATCCGCGCTGCCCCGAGAAACTCCCGGGCTAATCGTCTGCGGAAGCAGATAAAGCCCTTTCTTCTCCCGGGAAAGTGCAGCGGAGCGCGGTGAGGACCAGCTCAGTGGACTCGGCAGAGGCGGGAGCTGTCCTTATCAATTCTAGCTCATTTCCCTCACCCCGGCCCTGCCTGCTTCCCTGCTTTCGCAAACTGTTGGCTTTCCCCGTCACCCACTCAGTTTTGCTAATTTTTCAGAGACGCCTTTAAACACCCCACCTTTGTTGTCTCATACCTGCTGGCCAGGCTCTGCCTGCAGTGCTGCCTGAAGGGCATCAGGTGGTAGTTCATGGCGTCCAGCAGCAGCTTCTGGCAGACCGGGTCGGTGCGCATGAAATCCACCGACTGGACCCGCTCCACCAGCTCGGGGGCCGGGATGAGCGCGAAGCGGAGGCGCTTCATGAGGTCGGGCGCGTACTGCATGCGGGTCTCGCGGTCGTGCTCCAGCCAGAGCACGGACATCTGGAAGAGCGCCAGCTCCGACTCCACGGGGGGCGGCAGCGAATCCAGCAGGGCGCGCATCTCCTCGAAGTTGAGCAGCAGCACATCCTCCACCAGGTACTTGTTGGCCAGCTTCTTGGTCTCCTCCAGGCCGTGCAGCGCGGCGATCTTGCACACCTGCTTGTAGTTCTGCACCGAGATCTGGTCGTTGAGGAACTGCACACAAAGCTTGGTGACCTGGGGGATGTGCAAAATCTTGCTGACCGACAGCACCTCCTCCACCGTGTCCAGGGAGAGGGTCACGTTGGCCGTGTAGAGGTACTCCAGCACCAGGCGCAGCCCGATGGACGAGCAGCCCTGGAGCACCAGGTTGTTGATGGCCCGGGGACTGGTCAGCAGCTTGTCGTCGGGGGAGGAGGATGGAGTGCCGGGCTCCTCCTGCGCTGGCGGCGGCGGCGGCTGCTGCTGCGGCGGCTGCTGCGGTGGGTCCTTGGGGGCCCCCAGGCCGTCCTGGCCGCCGACCCCTCCCCCGAGAGGGGGGTGACTGGAGAAGAGCGATCGGAAGTACTGCGAACAGGAGGCCAGCACGGCCTTGTGGCAGTGGAACTGCTGGCCCTGGGCCGTCAGGGTCACGTCGCAAAACAGCTGCTTCCTCCACAGCAGGTTGAGGCCGTGCAGCAGGTTGTCGCTGTGGCTGGGGTCGAAGGTGGAGGTCCGGTCCCCGGATCTGGACATGGCGAGCTGCCTCGGCGCACCTGGCTTTAAACCCGCCTCCGACCTGGCAGACAGGGGTGGGGGATGGGAGGGAGGTGAGCAGGGGGGTGGAGGGGGGTGGGGTGTGGTC